CTATCAAAAACCCATCTTTAGTGTGTTTGTTTATTAGTAAATACCAAAATAATAGAGACTTACCTGAGAGAAACCGATGAACTGCGTCCTTTCCTCTGTTGATGTTGAATTGCGTGCCGAGAGTGCCACGTCAAACTCCAGCACAGCGCACCGGTGTCTGCGCGTACACGGCGTCATACAGCAGGCGCCTCTGCGCATGCGCACACTAGTGGGAACCACTACACGTCAGCAACTACTACACAGATGTGCGTAGCGAGCAGAAGCCATTCTGTGCTGGCTTGTATAGATACGAAGAATGAGAAATTGATGAAAATGTTATGTAATTTGGGAAAATAAGATCATATTATTCTAGACTGCTCATCGTGTGCATATTTGTTCTGTTGTTTCGTTTTGTTCACAATGGCCTATGTTGAATGAATGTGTGATGTGAGAGTGCCAGTCATGGAGAAACATTTTGTTGCAGTTTTAATAGGCTACTTTGTATTTTTGAGGGATTCTTAAGACATTATAATATACTTTTCTAGTTCACTATTTCAGGTTTCTTGTTTTTCTATACAGAAAAACAATAGAGGGCAATTTTATTAAATTATTTAAAGTTGAAACACCTGAAAGTTTAAAAACCGGCTTAATTTTGAAAAAAAAAAGTGATATAAATTTTTTGGTCAAACCGCTAAAGTCTGTACATTTTGCAAATAAACCTGATTTGTATTATATACAGTGTGTATTTAGATGAATTGATTATAACAGGATTTTTGCGTGAGTGAGCTCAGTCAGCCGCGTTATAAAGGCAGCGCTTGGTTTAATATTTAAAAACATAACTGAATGATTTCTATATTTAAAAAGTTATGCAATCAAGAGGAACCACCCTTTTAATTTAGCCATAAAAGCTTCGACACAAATCGAACACTTGGTATGTAGCCTATCATATGTTAATTCTGTTTGCAGTTACATTCTGCAACTTTTTCATGCATTCTGATTCATATTGTTTATTTTGCAGGGCCATGCAAAACATTAATCAAAACCTTCAGTAAATGACACATATATATATATATATATATATTATTACACTGTATCAGAAAGTCAGTTTATTAAATGTAAATAAATTGCATAATTTATAGGAATAAATGTTTCTGAATGAAGTACAATTTCCAGAAAAACTAAATCTTTAAGTAGAAAAAGCAAAACTAGTGAAACATGCACCAAATAAATGCACCAGAAGCTTCCTAAAATATATGTATTTTTGTATACAAAAGTTCCACTGATAAAAGTAAAGTATAGTAAAAGTCTTTGGACTAAATCTAAATAAAACAAACCTTTATCTGATGATGTCAGTCTATTGCTGCAAGAAAATGTATACTGAAATAGTGAATTAGTTGTATAACATAGCCATTGTCTTTAGCCATAAATTGTGGTAAATACACTGTAAAAATAAATCCTAATTTCACAGAAAGTAACTGATTTTTTGACAATAATTTTCTTTCATTTTAAATTGTCATCAAATTACAAAAAATATCTGTAAAAATAAAAATGCAGTTGTTATTTTAGGTATTGCGACATTAAAGGAATAGTTCACTTTTGAAAAAACTTTTGCTGATAATTTACTTACCCCCATGTCATCCAAGATGTCCATGTCATTCTTTCTTCAGTCGAGAAGAAATTAAGGTTTTTGATGAAAACATTCCAGGATTTTCTCCATATAATGCACTTCAGTGGGAACCAAACGGTTCAAGGTCCAAAAGACACTTTCAGTACAAACTGCAAACTGTTCAAAGGGCTTTAAATGATTCCAGACGATGAATAAAGGTCTTATCAAGCGAAAGGTCAATCACTCATTCAATAAATAAATGACAAAGTTTACATTTTATAAGCTCAAATGATCGCCTTGCTCTGTTCTGTGACACACGTTTGTGACTCTCCTGTTCGAACTTGTTAAATAATCAAAATGAACGAATCTTTTTTTCGAGTCATTTGGTTCATTCAACGAATGAAACTAACTAAATGACTCGGAAAAAGATTCGTTCATTTTGAATATTTATTGTAAAGAAAATGTTTTCAGTTGGTTAATTTTTTTAGGAGTATAGAGACATCAATAATCAACATATGCATCTCAACAATGGTGACAATCAACAAAGCCTTTATGTGACTTTATAGTAGTTCAGAGTTGATCACCATTGTTGTGATTCTTGGTGTTTGTGTGAGTCTGTATGATCTTGTCAAAACAGTTTCTGTACAATGACTTCATAAAATCTTAGTATCACAGCACTACATGATCTTCTATAACAGTATTAGCATGCAAAAATTAAATTTAAATTTTAATGATTTAATCAGAAATTACACTTCAAGTGGTATCATTAAAACATGCAGCTACACAATGACCTTTATAACTATAAAGTGACCATGATCTTCTAACATGAGTTTCTCTTGGATTCCTACCATAACATATGTATCAGAGACACACAGTTAAAGCAGCCAGAGAAGAAATAATGTTAAGGTCAAGAGCCCAACTAAAGCAAACACTGATCTCCACCATGGTAATATCAACCTTTATTATTTTCAATAAAACATCAACTTCAAAACCTCTGTTAATTCTCAATAAGAATGTTAGTATGATAGAATTGAAGTCTGTAAAGTAATAAGAGAGGATGAAGAGATCTAAAGTGGTCTGTTAGTGTTTAATGTGCTGTTGGGGGATGTAAACAGTTTGTGTGTGGTGTGTTTTGTGGGTCACCATCGTGTTGAAGAGTAGAGTATTTGCTTCAGTCCAGGATGAGTAGAGTAACAGTAACACTGATGAAATGCAGCATGTTTCTTTATAGTTGCTGATGCAGTGACGTACAGACCATTTTGCAAGATGTAAACAACACTGGTCCAGAAGCACTTCCCGTTTCAGTTTTTTAACACTACATAAAAGCTGGGATAAAATACAACCAACAGAACATATAAAACTGAATCAAAAAGTTAAACAAACATCTTTAAGATGTTTTCTTTACATGTGAAATAAAGAAAACAGTAACAAATTGAAACAGGAAGTGTGTCTAGACCAGTGTTGTTTACATCTTGCAAAATGGTCTATAGTCACAGTAAATCATGCATGTAGTTACCTTACTTTTTTTTAGCGAAAAATTCAGAAAATATGTGAAATAACAGTTTTTGTTAAAAAAAAAGTAATGAAGAATTCTGCTTTTGCACTTATTTAAATAAGGATATTTTACATTCATTTTATTGTTTTGTATAGCAGCCATTGCTGACCGTCATTGACCTTTTTTATGGGATTGGTTTTACAGTTAGGATGTTTGATCGTAAAAATCCAGATAATAGCTGTAAAATAACAGTGCTTTTCTGTAAAACATGTAAGAAAATATCTGTAAAAGTTTTTTGCACTTAAATCAAATTAGGATATTTTACTTTATTTTTACGGTTTTTGTTTGGGAGCCTTTGCTGCCAGTCATTTGACTCTTTTTTTATGATTTTAGTTTTTACAGTGATTTATAAATGTTGTAAAGATGTTATTCTTTGGCTTTGTGTGAGAATTTTATCAGCCCAGTGACAGCAAATGAAAATTATCTGTTTAAATAACACTAATTAATGTGTTGTCATTGACAAATAAATAAATAAACACTATGTACACATACTGTATATCTCTATTTATTTATTTTTATTATATGAGTATGTCTTACATAAATGATTGTAAGACATGTACAATTATTTAAATGTTTAGGGATTCTGATATCTTTAGCTTGCTCTGCCTCCACAATGTCCACCGGACCTTTTCCATTGGTGTGCAATTTTCCAGTGAATCGCTGAAGACCAGGGATGAGGTGAGGGCCCCCTTCTCAAAACTGGCGGGCAAAGGTGCTTCCTGTGTGGATCTGGTGGGTACAGGTGGTGAAAGAGGGCGTGTTTCAAGATACGCAACGGAGTAGACCAAACCAATTAACAGGGAGGGACAGTCACATGCATGCATACGAAACACACTCTTTGTCGGCCGTGCGATTGATTCCCTCATCCATTTGCATAGAAAATGAATGTAATATTATGATTTCCATCATTGTTTTACATATATATTTTTTATTTTTGTGTACTGGGCCGGCCCACATTGGCCAGCGGCCCACCGGGAAAAGTCCCGGTGCTCCAGAAGGCCAGTCCGCACCTGCGCGAGAGATCTTCCGCTGCTTGAGACAGAAGCGCCCGCGCCCTCAGATCACTTGGACGTGGCTGTGGTTAAGAGGTAAAAGATATAAATACTGTTCGTTTTCTCACACAAACCGCTCGTTTCGTGTCTTAGGCCATCAATGTGTCCTAACATTTACGAGTCATTAAATAATGTTTAATTTGGACTTCTCTGTGCATGCTCTTTGAGGTGGTGACCATAGACCTGCATTATATGACTGACAGACAAGAACGGTTTGACCTAAAAAAAATCAAAATTGAAACTACTGTGGAAACAAAGACACCTGTTGAATACCCTTGAGGTAAGCTAAAACATACCAAAAAAATCAATTTGAACTGTGAACTGTCCCTTTAATGTAATGCAGCTAATGTTTACCAGGAACTGTGACTGACAACATTAGGCTACAGGCTAACTGGGATATTTACATTTGATTTATTAAAATGTATATTATATACATATAAAAATGGAAGAAAAAAAAAAGAAAAAAAACGGTGAGGACTTTGCCTCCTCTCATTTCAGAACACCACTTCACAAGACACGACATTTCAGCCAAAAGTGTAGCATATTTTTCAAAGTTGAACAAGAGATTTTCCTCCTCGGGGAGTTTTTTTTTTTTTAATACGCACTTGAAACGCAGTTACATGTGGAGCGTTGCTTTTCATTGTCGGTTAAACCTGCGTACAAGTTAAGAACAGTTCCTCTCCTTTAGACTATCACGCCGAAAAGAGGGCCGGACTCCAGATGTTGTAGATTTACACCCACCAAAGCCAGCCTCCGATATCTCACCACCGAACAAACTGGACTCCTCTCTCAGACTAGAGGACCGCTTCAGGAGGATGGGCACGGGGGAGTTTGTGTGCGTGACGCTGCGTGGTGGCGCGCCGTGGGGATTCAGACTCCTCCAGAACGCGCAAGACCCTCAACATCCTCTCCAGGTGCTTGAGGTGAGACTTTAGGCGACTGTTGTGATGATGATGACTCCGTTTTTAGTACGTGTTGGCAGAGAACCCGATGACGCTGATGAATATCCATAGTTTACTAGCTGTTTCTCCTATTTATCTCATTTGAGGATTTATATGCTAGAATAAAGCACACAGATCCCATTTCACAAGACCCTGGTGGTCTTATAGGTACTTTTAGCTGGATAGACATGGGATGCCAATTGCTAAACACCAGCTTGGACAGACATTAGCTAAAACCAGCAAACCAACGTAGGCTGGCTTACTGTAAGCAGCTCTTTTCATCAGGGTGAAAGTTTTCATGAAAGTTTTGGTGATGAAGTCTGAGTTTAATGCACATTTGAGTATATGTGGAAGATAATTGGCTGGTCCTGAGAGTTGTCTATATAGCCACGGATGAAGGTTTTATATAAATATAGGGTTTTTTCTCTTATTTAGGAAATTGCACAAACCAATGTCTTTGATGGATATGTTGTAAACAGAATCTTGCTTAATGACAACATATCTTAGTGGCCACCCGCTGAGTTCAAATTCGGCAGTTGTTTTGATAAATGTTCACTGCCAAAGTTGTTTTTCTTTAGCTGAATTTTACAGGGAGATCTGTGCTGTGCAGTCTCTGCCTGTCCCAGACTTCAGCAAGGGTCCTTATATGGTCACAGCAAAGCTAACAATGTTTGTTGGCCAAGTACAGAGTATCTGTCATCACTCCCATAGATATCAAGAATCTAAACTGTTAGTATTGAGAGGTTGGAATAATCTGTTTTTTTACTATTGAGGAAACCTTAAGATAATGAGCATTAGTAAAACATGTTTTCTTATCAGCAGATTTCGTGAGTGTCAAATTAGAATATATGAATATTCTGCATGTTTTATGGAAATGATCAGCCCAGTCTCTGTCCCTGCATGTGGAGACAAAGACATACTGTGTGTTTATACTCAAAATTATTTGCTTACTTAACAGTTTAACCAGTTTAAAAGATCTTCAAAGACATGGAATAGTATTTAAACAGTATGTTTAAAGGGATAGTTCACCAAAAATATACAATTCCATCATTATTTATGTTGTTCCAAACCTGTATGAGTTTCTTTCTTCTGCTGAAAACAAAATAAGATATTTTAAAGAATGTTGGTATTGGAAACCAAACATTTAAAGGGATAGTTCACTTTGAAATTAATTTTTGGTATGTTTTAGCTTACCTCAAGGGCATCCAAGATGTAGGTGTCTTTGTTTCTGGAGTAGTTTCAATTTTGATAGTTTTAGATCAAACCGTTCTTCTCTGTCAGTCATATAATGCAGGTCTATGGTCACCACCTCAAAGAGCATGCACAGAAGTCCAAATTAAACATGATTTAATGACTCGTAAATGTAAGTACACATTGATGGCCTAAGACACGAAACGAGCGGTTTGTGTGAGAAAACATATCATGTAACCACAGCCACAACCAAGTGATCTGAGGGTACGTCTGCGCAAGCGCCGTAAGTGATCTCTCGCGTGTGTATGTCACTCATTTCGAAGAACGAAACACATTTAAATATACAGGAAATCGTAATGGAAGACGATTTCGAAATATCAACAGACATCGTTAATTTTTTTCGCAACTGCGCAAGAGATCACTTCCGGCAGTTTCCGGTGCTTGCGCAGACCGAAGCGCCCGTGCCCTCAGATCACTTGGACGTGGCTGTAGTTACAAGAGGTAAAAACTATATAAATACTGTCCGTTTTCTCACACAAACCGCTCGTTTCGTGTCTTAGGCCATCAATGTGTACTTACATTTACAAGTCATTAAACCATGTTTAATTTGGACTTCTCTGTGCATGCTCTTTGAGGTGGTGACCATAGACCTGCATTATATGACTGACAGACAAGAACGGTTTGACCTAAACATATCAAAATTAAATCAACTGCGGAAACAAAGACACCTATATCTTGGATGCCCTTGAGGTAAGCTAAAACACACCAAAATTAATTTCAAAGTGAACTATTAATGGACCAAATTGACTTCCATTGTAAGAAAAAAAAATACTATGGAAGTTCTTGGCTGCTGTCAACTGTACATTTCACCCTCCATTGACAGCTACGCAACTACCACTTTTACCCTTCAAAAAGTTCAAGAGATTGTAAAACTAATCCATAAGAATTGAGCGGTTAAGTCCAAATTTTCTAAAGAGACTCGATCGGTTTATATGATGAACAGATTGAATTTAGGCTTTTATTCACATATAAACATTGATCAGAGACCATAAACAGAAGCTCAACCAAACCTCATTGGTTCTTGCTGAACCTCAACTGATGTGTAAGTTGATGAATGTTTACATGTGAATAAAAGCTAATAAAAATCTAATAAAATCTGTTTATCATTAAAGCAATCGAGTATCTTATCATATCGACACAAGGGTGAGTAATTAATGACAGAATTGTCCCTTTTGGCTGAACTATCCTTTATAAAGCACACTTGGAACACTGCTAGCCTAAATCGGATTAGAGGACTGGAATTTACTCTGGCATAAATTACAAATATAGATGTTGCAAATCCACAAGTTGCCTATTGAGCAATGTAACTGATGATAAAGAAATAGTCTGGTAAATGTAGCTACTGAATAGGTACAAGTACTTACAGATAATTAAATATAACAGTCTAGACATGAGTCTGAGGTCACCTAGTGGATGATCAGTGTTCCTGGCCAGTGGAAAAATAGTTAAGCAATAATTTCATTCTCAGCTGAAAAGCTCATTTATGTATAACTCCATAAAGTGTCACAAAATATAGCCATATTTTACTATTCAGTAAAACAGTAATAGCCATTAGTGTGGCCCCTTACAGACTGTTTTCAGTATAGACTCCCACACTTTAGCAAACTTTAGACTATACACAAGTTAAACCCTCATAAAAGTATAACTGGCAAAGAAAGCTTCTGTTTTTTGTGTCCTCTTTATAATTTTAAAACCTTTAAAATAAATCACTGAAGAAATGCAGTGTACCCACAGAGCCTCGACGTATATAAATCTGACTGAAACTATTGTCTGTCTATTTTAATTTATTTCAGGACTGCATAGTTAAACAATTAGCCTAGCATACACTGCTAAAATAACGTTTAAGCATATTTGGGATGAGTAAAGATGTACAGTACATGTTGATGAACAATATGTTTGTGATCAGTTTCACTTCAGTTTATCCAAATTTAAATAATACGGCCCTTAATCATGCTTATCTATCATATCTCTTCCCCCTCACTTTAAATGTGAATTATGTATTCCAGAAGAGCTGTCTGTCAGGTTGTCATCATCAAGTAATGTTAATAGAGCATTTGTTCAAGTTATCTGGTCTTTAATAATGTTCTCAAAATGTTAGCACAAAAAAAAAAAGCATTTTTCATCTTTTAAATGTTTCTGAATTTTCAGAGGGCATTAAAAATTAAATTGAAGGTAAAACTCTCACAAGTTTAACTGTAAAAAATAAAACTAATTTTTATGGTAAAAAAAAACAAAAATAAAAACGGCAGCTGTTGTTGCCAGAACTTTACCGTCAAAAATACGGTAGCACCATTATTGGTTTTACAGACTTTTACAGTAATAAACCGTATTTCTGATTAATAATATTAATTTACAAACCTATTGAAGGATTGATATCTGTTTTGTATGGTACAAAACAGATATCAATACTTTAATAGGTTGGTAAATTAACATTATTTAATGTTAAATAATGACGGTAAAGTGTAATACACTGATAACCAACAATCATCACAGCAGTGATTAGAGTCACATGATCAATCAAAGCTCATCACAAACAGCTCTTCCACAAGAAGGTTTATATTAAGAAGCTGCACAGTGTCATTCACACAAACATTAAACACCAAAATGGTAACACACATGAAATAAAATGCAAATGCAATAAACATTAATTTAACAACATTAAATGTAACATAAAACCCTAAAATACAACTGATTAGTGGAAAAAAACTATGAGGAAACATTGTTATTTCAACAAAAATACATAAAATGTGAAGTGTCACACATACAGGGAATTGTGGGAATGTCAATTTACGGTTTTTCACTGTAAATTATACAAGCCGAGCTGTTCTTTATCACTTTCAAAAACTGTAAATTTAACGGTATTTTACCATAAAATTACATGAAAACCATGAGATCTATCACAATTATTTACTATATATAGTATGGATACTTTCTATTAACCAATTAACAGTTTTGCACTGTAGCATTTTTACAGTCTTTTACCGTTAAAATCACGATTATTTTTTAAAGATACAAATATCCGGAAGCATATCTGATACCTGATATCTTTTGTTATTAAAAATGTATTTTCTTTTTTTTTAAGCATCTCATAACAAGGATTTTTCTATGGGGTTGCTGAGATAATGTTACAGAATATATATTTTCTCTTATATGAGACATGTGAGCTCACCCTTTTAGCTGAGCAGTCAATATTTGCCTGTGCTGTCATGAGAGAGATTGAGCTGAACGTTCACAGATACGTGCGTCCATCTTTGTGGACTGACCTTATGCTCCTCTAAGTCATCTGGAAGACATAACTTTTACTTGACTCATCTAAGAGCAAACTCGTTCGGCAGAGAAACATGCCTACATAAAGCTGCTAAATACTGTTCATGAAGGACGGCTGTTCAGTGATGCATAATGGTGTCCCTTTAATGACAAATGTATAATTGCAAATGCTGTATATTTAATTTTCAATAGAAATTACATTAAAGTATATTTTAGTTTATAAATGCTTGGCAATACACTTTACCCTTATTTCAAAGACAATAGAACTAATTGTGAACTTGCATATAAAGATGTACTAAAGCTCTACTCATTTAAGTGGGAACTTCAGCTAATTGCATTTAATATAAATGTAAACTATAAAACATTTTCATTTAATTGCAATTAAGTGTCTGAAAACATATTCAGTTTGCACTTAAGTATTCTTTTAAAATGTATTAATTTGACATTATTACAAATGTGCACCT